TCAGCCCCAGCCCCAGGCGACAAAGAGACTCGGTGGAAACAACTGCTTGATGGATGCAAGCGTTATCTAGGAGCCAGGGGTTATTTGTGTGTGTGCGTAGGTGAGGGAGGGTACGCCTGGGTGTACCTGGCATGCATAGCTCAGAGTGTGTGGGTGCTCTCCTTGTGTCCATGTGCAGGCATAGCCCCCAGCGCGCAGGGCGATTTGTTTGCCTGTTCAGTTTCCCACGTGCAATCTCCTGCAGCTGCCTTGTTTGACGGCTGAACCCTCATTATTGCTAAAATCAAATCCAATAGAGCCACGCAGCAAACAGCGACGTGGGCTGGAGCCGCGGCTGTGCTAGCCAGTCTAGAGCTGCTGTCAGGAAACCCGCGGGGATGACAGATGGCATGTTCCTCCCGAGCCATTGGCCAAAAGCACAAAGCCTCTGTCATTCAGATGCCGCAATGCTACCCCGGCTGACATTTGGGGGAGCCTTTCCATGGTTCTGATTCCAGCTCTGGGGGTTCTGGGGCCTTGGCCCCATGTTCTTCTGTATTAAAGTCACTGGCTTGGTAAACTCTGGAATGGTTCTTCTGCTTCTTTCCCAGCTGGAGTGGTTGCCTCTGGTTTCCCGAGATCCTGTTTTCATGCAAATGAATGAATATTAATTCAATACTAAATAATGACTATTAACAATTCCCTTCCCTCTGGGGATCTTATCGCGCTTCGCAACCGTTAGTGAATTCTGCCTCGGGATCTGGCCAGGCTCGGAGGAAGACATTAGGCACTATAGGTCGGTGCCTAAGGGTTGCGGTTTCCTTAGTCAGGTGACTACATCAGAAGCGCAACTTTCATTTTAAAAAGGAAGTAGGTCTCAACCTCTCCTGGCTGCAAGGGAAAGCTTGAAAATGTGCAGCAAACGGTGTCTGCCTGAGTCTGCAGAGAGCCTGGTGCAGCAGCTCCGAGAGCTGTGAACTGCCCCATTCATCTGTAAGGGGTGATAATGTCAAGATCTGTTGTTCTGGGGGAAACCTGCCCACCCCACCCCACTCCACGAGGAATTTGCGTGTGGCAAGAGTAGAAGAGTTCAGTGGGCCCAGCCATGGACGGTGGGTATCATAGGCTGGTGGAGGCTGTGCCTCCCCAAACAGCCAGGTGTGGTCCCGCCCACGCTCCATCCCCAAGCCACCCCCCCTTTGCTTCCTGCTCGGTGCAGCTCCACTAGTTTCCGTGGCCCTGGCTTGGGTCTCACCTGCCCTCCCAGTCCCAGTGCTCTGGGGCTGGGGGACATGGATTCACTCTGGGGCTGGGGGCACTTGCCTGGGGTGGGGGGGCCAGCAGCTGCGCTGGGAGGACCTCTGGGCTCTGACCGGGGGGGGGGGGGGGGGGGGGGAGGCAGTGTGGAAGGGGCGGAGCTGGGGGCTAGCCTCCCCCAGCCGGCGGCTCACATACTGCCTATGTGCCCAGCACACCTATTCTTGATTCACGCCATTGCCTCCTTGCTGAGACTGCCAACATAAGGGCCAATCGGTGTCACGTGTAATAGGTGCAGAGGGACCTCTGGGCGGAGGCCCATCAAACTCATTTCACATAGATCAGATAACTTCAGGCTGGCTTTGAATCACCGACATAAAGGTGAAAGGCTCTTTATCCTGTCACCAATCCCAGAGCTAGTCAGTTGCTCCCAATACAGACATTCCAGGGTTAGAACTTCACTGGCAGATCCAAACCCTCTGAACCTTCACCCCACATCCTGCCTTGTTCCCTACATGCTTCGTACAGAGACACCTTTTCCCTCCACCTGCCACCACGAAGGTCGTTACTCAGTGGCCAGTAGAAGCTCTTTAAGAAAACCAGCATCTATATAAATCCAGTCCCTAGTGCCCTCGCTCCACACTAGGCACAAAACATGGCTTCACATTGCGTTCACGTTGGCCACAAACTCATGCCCAGCAGTTTCAACACTCAGGATTCCTCCCAGAAAGCAGCCTGGGGTGTCTGGGATTTGATGTGGCTTTAAAGGCAGCCTTAACAAATAAAATACACACAAGGAAACAATCTTTCCCCACGTTAACCCAGTGTATTTATTTGCATGTATGGGACTGGAAGGAGGAAAAAGGTCAAAAGCAATATTTTTCAGGCCCTGCAACAGGACAACAAGCAGCTGGCAACCTGCCCTGTACCAACTATTATATCATGTGTGCCAAGGTTACACAATGTGACCAACTCTTGGGGGAGGCTAGCGGAAGGAAAACAAAATCAAGGCGGTGGCTGGCTCCCTGTTTATTGAGGACACCCACAAAAGTGCCGGTCAGAAGACAGGGATGGGGGTTCTGCAGAAAAAATTGATTTTGTGATCATTGGGACTACAGATTTACCCTAATCATGAGATCAATTGTAAAAAGTCCATGAAAGTTCATAAGATGTTACAATCGCCTATCATAACAATTGTTGATGGAAAGTAGGTCAAGCTGTTGTTCAATAATGAGTGTAATGAACAGATGCAAGAGGACCAGACAGACTACATTAGTGCAAACAAAAAAAGGCCACATTGATATGATTCAAGGACTATGTTGAAATCATGCTTGGCGAAGCTAGAAGTGGAACCAGAAATTAATGAACCAAAATGGATGTGTCAGATATTGGACCTAATTGGTGGACAAAATAAGGGATGGGCTAGTCCACCCATCACTCCCTTTTTTGGTCCTTAAAGAAAAAGACTTGGGGGGGGGGGGGGAGAGACAGAAGAACAGATGGAGGCTACTGGAGCAAGTTTCACCAGCATGGTTGCCGCCCACACTGTTTCCTGGGCCCCTGCGTCTTCATCCCCCTCATCTTAAGAGATGTCCTGACCAGACCAGGTCAGAGAGAGGGACCTAGATAACATCACACCTCTACCTGCTCCGGCTAAATCCAAAATGCCACCTGGGATGGAATGGGATCGGACTGTAACAACAACAGCAGCTCCAGCCCATGTTAAGGTCTTCTCTTTTCCGTGAAAGGAGAGTAATTGCCATCTTTGAGTGGGTGGGTGAGGCAATATCTTTTATTGGACCAATGTCTGATGGTAAGACAGATTTCCGAGCTCTTCTTCAGGAAGCGTGTCTCTCTCACCAACAGAAGTGGGTCCAATAAAAGATATTCCCTCGCCCACCTCGTCTCGCTAATAGCGTGGGACTGACCCTGCGTATATCTTTGACACTGTCAGACAAGGGGGCTTTTCCTTCTAAAGCCTCTCTGCAGCTCCAGGGACGGGCTAGAACGAAAGCCTGACTCGGCCCTTGACGTGGCAGAGGCTTTCGCTGTTTTCCCGTCTTTTCCGCCTCTTTCATGAAAGGCTAAGAGGGTTTTCAGGGCTGTCTTTGCCCTGGTACTAGGCAGGTTCCGGTCTCTACCCCGGACCTTGTTAACGCGGTGGGACAGTGAGTGGGTGATGTTAACACCTTTGGCCCATGTGTTCCAGCTAACTTAACACAGCAGCCCCCAACCTATTGCTGGGGGGGGGCGCCCTGCCCTGCCCACACTGCAGGGAGCTGAGGTCCCAGGGTGCCCTGATGTTGCTGCCAGGCCACACACAGCACATGGGGGGGGGGGGGGGGAGGTCACCTAACCCTGACTGCGCGTGCGTAGTAGAGCACATTTTCCCCCTCCCGTTTGGGCCTGCGATTACAGCTCGCTGGGGCCACCTGCCGGGCAGTTGTCGCCACCGTCCCCCTCCCAGCCACCTGCTAATTGGTCAAGGTGCCCCCCTCGCTCCAGCCAATCGGAACGCCGGCACGTTGCACTTTGCTTCCTTTTGATTGGGCGCGGTAACCCCGTGCGTGCGTACGCCCTGATTGGCTGCGCCGTCCTGGGGGGCTGCCCGGTGATTGGCTGGGTTGCGGGGGGCGGAGGGGG